CTTGCTAGAGAAGTATGCTTTGCCGAGGCTGTAGGATTTTTTCGATATTTTTTCGGATTTTTTTCGGTGCTCGAATCGCTCGTTGAAAGTTCGGGAGTTTAAAGAAATAAAGAGAGAAAAAGGGTTAAGGACAAAAGAGCAAAATAAGGGGGGCGGTGTTAGTAATAGAAGGGGCGGCGAATAGTAAATGAAGATGAGGCGTCAAACTCAAGCTCAGGTCTATCCAAGAAGACGAAATCCATAGAACTGTGAGATATCTACAGCGAAACCTTCGATCTCGACCCGCGGTCAAAAAGTTTCAATATTTTTTGTAGACAGAAGGATAGAAATTTTTATTAGAGAGGTATGAAAAAATTAGATAGCCACACTATTCAGTAAAAGAAAAAGTCAATATCATTTTAGAGTTAATCTATTTTATCTGAGAAAATAGATAGCCACACTATCACTAAAAGATGTGTGTTTAAGTTTGTGTGTTGTAGTTGGATTTGTTCTAGGCTGCCTCGAGCTTTCTGCTTATGGAATTTGTTTTTCCAACTACATTCAACTAAGTAGCTGACTTATTCGACTGTTTAGTTGTCGTCTAGTTTGTAATTATGTGTTTTTCTTTTAGTGAAACCTATNCAAAAAAAAAAAAAAACATTATCAATAAAATAAAGTTAATATCATTTTAGAGTTAATCTATATGTTTGACTTAAATTGAATTAGGTGTTGACAAGAAATCTCGATATTGACAAGTGATGAATGTGTGGTGTGTATATACTAGATACACACATATATTGATACAATAAATAAATTATTTTTGGTAGATAATATCATTACGCATCACAAGTATGTACTCCGTGTGATATACGAATAAATAATATTAAAAAATAATTATAAATTAAAGATGTGGAGTTAATATGGAGTATAATTTATCGTATATCAATTGTAAACAATATAAAATTATCTTGTATAAAAGAACATAAGAAAATGTATGTTTAAAATATTAAAAATGCTAAAATATTATATAATCGTATGTAGAAGTATCTAAAATTTTATATATCACTATTGAAAAACGTGAAGTCACCTAAATTTTTTTAAACTAATTTGTAAAGAAAACATCTCTAAAGCTATTTAAAAGGATGTGAAGTCGCCTAAAATTTTCTAAATTATTTTTTTAAAAAAACATGTCTAAAAATTTAATATATAGTATTATGAAGGTAACATATTATATCACTCTAAATTTGTTAGAAGAAGATGAGAAAATTTACATACAATATATAAAATAGAATATTAAGATAATCATAGTCTGAAAAATGCTGTTACTGCAGCCATTATAAAAACTTAAAGTCTAGTTTTCTTACCATTTGCATGGTGCCGGAGGCCATCCGTCTACCTTCGATTTTTGAAGCAATTTGCTCTGTTTTTTATGCGGATAATTTAAATGTAAATATGAAAAGTGGTATTACTTGTTAAATGCAATTTAAATTCGTCCAAATTGAGTTCAACCTAGTTTTTTTTATTTAGGGAGTTTATATTTCTAAAAAAAATGTTGGTGTTTTTAATTTTAAAATGCATAAATTATTGTATACACCGATATATTGAATTCAAAATTTTAAAAATTTAAGTTGAACAAAATCATTAATTTAAGGAATGATTTTTAAATTTAAACTTGCACAAAATGTTTCTTTTTTAGAAATGATTTTTAAATTTTAAATTGTTCAAAATTCTGAATGCATTTTCAATTCATCCAATATTTTAATTCAGGCCAATTTTTTTTATGAAGTTGTTAAGAAAATAAGTATAAAATTGTTGTAAAAATCGTGGATTTCGAAAAATAAAAACACTGAAATATAATTTTAGATTATTGAAAAAAAATCATGTGATTGAGTAGGGATAATATCACCTATTTAGTAAAAATAAAAACACTGAAATATAATTTTAGATTATTGAAAAAAAAATCATGTGATTGAGTAGGGATAATATTACTTATTTAGTAGAAATTTTTAAATTTAAACTTGAACAAAATCCTTGGAATGATTTTTAAAAAGATTTTTCTAAAGCATGTAATGTGAAATAAAGTTGAATTTGAATGTTTCACTTAAAAAATGGATGCAACTTTACACAAAAATCGGTTGCAATTTTTCAACAAATCCACCATTTTAGGGTTCAATTAATGCTGCCCATTGTATAGTCACTAGTATTTGACCTGTGCATTTGCACAGATGTAAATAAAATATTATAAGTTACTTATATGCATATAATACTAAAATTATAAGTTAGATAATGGTATTATATTTTAAACATAGAGTATTATGAGTTATAAGTTAGAAAATGATATTATGTTTTACATTAATCATTGGTTAAAAGAAATAGCATATGAATCACTTATATTGATTGCATAAATGTTAGAAATAATGTAATTTTTATAAATTTGAGGGATAATGACTAATTAATTAGCTGAAAAATATTAAATTTATTATAACAATTGCTTATGAAATTTTAAGTAATTTTACTATAACATTAAAATAAATTATTTTTTTAATACTATCACTTAATCAAATAAAAAAATATAATATTGATCTTAGAATAAATAACTTGAACAAAAAGTTTTTACAATATAATTTTTTATGTTTATTTAACTTTCATATATCATTTAATGTAAAATATAATTATTAATCTTAATAATAACTATTATACGATACAATAAAAAATATAATTGTTAACGGTTTTTGTCTTAATTAACAAAAAAAAAAGTGTAAGAAAATATTTTATTATTAATGAGATATGATGAATTAATGTAATAATAAAATTTTGTTGTTAATAATTTCATATAAATTTATACCTATTTCAGAATATTTAAATTTGTATAGTTAAATTATGTACTAAATTTTATTGCTAAAAAGTTTAGATATAATTTTATTTTTTAGCTGGTGAAACTATTTTGGGCCAATTTGGTCCATACGGCTTTTGGGACAGTCATTCAAAACAAAGCAAAATTTAAAATTACATACATATAGTTCCAAATCCAGCCAAATTTAAGAATTGTTGAAGACCAATTTAAGCCCGTCCATATGCTTATTTTTATAACATGAAAATTCCAACCCAGTTTAAAACTTCTCTGCAGGATGTTAAAGAGACACGTGGCCCACATACGTGTAACCATAATATATAACGGGTACAAACCCTAAAATGGCTAAAATCACGTCATTTCTTCTTCTTGTGTCGGCGATCTATCTCTCTGTGTCTCTCTCTCTCTGTTCTAAGTTTCTCCGACCCAAACTTTTTTTCTCAGCCTTTCTTAAAAAAATTTCGCCGGTAATGAAAAACAACGTGTGATTTTCCTGGGATTTGCTTCGTTGAACAAACGGAAATTGGAAAAAAAACACCTCGGAAATGCATTTTCTAGGTAAAAAGAGATCGAAAAATAAAAATCGATCCGATGTTAAAAATCCGATTTACTGATTTGTATTATTTCGTTTTAATCGGACGATTACAAATAAGATCTTGGAAGATCTATCGTTTTCAAAGTATTTTTTGGAGTTTTTTTTTTAATTAATAGCAAAGTAGACCAAGTTACAAAATCGACTTACAGATTATTAGTACTTCGATTTAAATCGGTCGATTACAACTAAGATCTATCGAGATCTATGAATTTCAAAAATTTATATGTTCCGTTTTTTTTAAATTATATGATATTGTTAACAGATCTACTAAGATCTGTACATTTCGAAAATAATTATATTGTTATAAAATCTTGAATGATTTTCAACTTGTAACGGCTAGATGAAAGAAAGCAGTCAATGAGGCTAGATGAAAATAGTTTTAACGGCTTGATGAAAATAATTCCATGTATACATGCCTGCAACTTTAATTTGATAATTACTACTAATTTGATATGTAATCTTTTTCTTTTTGCAGGAATTGCAAACACTATTGCTGAGAAGGAGCTTTTGAATTTTATATTCATTTATAATTTATTTTTATGGTGGTTGTATTTTCTTTTATTTAGTTTTTATTTGTTGTTCGTTAATTTATTTCAAGATACTATGCATAACAAAATAAATAATATACTGAGCAGACTAATTAATTGTTTATAAAAAATTGTGAACATTTTCAATAACTCGTATTAATGGCAGAATTGTTTTGTTTCCAAGTTTATACATTTATTCATCCCCAAAATTGAGGTGTTCTTGAATGAAGAAAATAAAAAACGAAAAATAAATAAAATGTAACGGAAATTGGCGGGAATTGGAAAAAAGTGCCAGTTAGGTAAAATTTATGAGGTTTTCTTTAATGTTTTGAGCTAGTAATTATATGTATATATATACAGTAACAATGCTAATATAAATAATAATGAACTTTCTAGGGAATTTTATTGTTCTTGTTCTCTTTTATGTTTCTCATTAATATAAATAACAATGAACTTTCTCGTGAATTTTGTTGTTCTTCTTTCCATTTATTTTTTCCTAATTTGTCAGCCTGTTATTTTCTGATATGTAATTGATTTTATTTTTGTAGGAATACATTGCTATCACTTCTTTATTGTGTGTTGACTCGCATATCCGTGTTCCCTGATCTTTACTTTTATTCTTTTGTATCTCCACTCTTACTGATGAAAAGTGGCCGCGATTCTTGAATCTTGATTGTTACTACAGTTAAATTTTCCATCTTATTTTCTGAACATTTATAATTGAATAATTCATACTAGGCTAACGTTTTAGTTCCAACTAATTGACCAATTTCACATCATAATATCTTTTCTAAAATTAGTGTCAGAAATTTACATAATTTAACCCACAATCAAAAAGGTCATAAGAGGTAACTATATTCAAAGTAACTTCATTATGTCATCTTATATTTGAACATAAATCAAAATCAGGACTGAAAGTGAAGCAAACTTGCTGCAATTGACAAATAAATCCAAACACAAAAATAAGAATTTATTCCCGAAAAAACAAAGCCAAACAAAATATACAAGTGTCTAATAATAATAACCATAAATAAAAGGGTCTAAAAAAAAAAAAAAAAAAAAAAATGTCACATCCAGACGTGATGTCCCAAGCCATTCACAGCTTCAATTAGTTTTGCAGATCACTAGAATCTCCAGCTAAATTGTGTTTTTGCTGCATGGACAAGCTCACAGGCAGAATACCAAGTATGCAAAATAACAAGGAGTGACATAAATAGGGATTTGAAGTTCAAATTCTACCTTAAATAGCCTTCACCACACAAGACAAACCACCCAAAATCAATTAATTTGGATGAAGCGTTTAAGACGCGTGCAAGAAGATAGATGAACACCACAATTACTGCAAGAGAATAGATGAACATCTAAAAGAAAAATACTCAAATCGGTCGAACACTGGCCAATCACTTAGATGTCAAAAATCTTAAGGTTTCATTTGAATCGAAGGATTGAACACATCTATAAGCTTTCCAATTTAAGTTGATCTTCAAATCCACTAAAAGTTAAGATACAATACCACTCTATTGAAATCTAAGATAATCACTATGTTGTTGTTTTCCTTTATTTCGGAGAGAGGCAATTACCCTATTCCAATTGAATCTCAGTAACTTTTAGCATTATTACGGCACATACACTAAGAAGCTTAAGTTCCATCACGGCAAAAGGAAACATTAATGCGTATTATGTATAAACTAACAAAATTATAACCATAAATTTGATAGAAATGACATTTAGCGATAAATTAGCACTTATGCGAGCAGGACAAGCGCCATCCATGCAATAATTTCATAATAACATAAAGGCACGCATGAACCTTCAATACTATTACGACATTCCTACACATTTTTCATGTACTAAGATAATAAAAAAAAAAAATGATTCATAAGACTCAATTTCCAGATTGAATCAATCAAATGTCCTAATCCGCCCATGCAACAGTCTAGGCTTTCACTGCTCAGACCTTTCCGAGGTCATTATGGAATATTGGAGTTTCCAATCTAACAACTTGTATAAAAAGGCATCCCAGATTCTATACTCTTTCAACCTAAATCTTTGGTTTTACTACTTTCACTACACACACGCACGCACACACATATAGACAGGTGTATGTGCTACAAAATGAAATAACTGATTTAAATATAACATATGCATGCCCAAGAGGTAGGGTTAATTTCCAATCAAGAAACGTTACGATATATAAACAAATTTTGACACAGTGATACAAACTGTGTTAAATGTGAATTCTTCAAGACCAGAAAAATGGTGGCAGAGAGCACCCTTTGTGAACAAATTCTGTGAGCGAATCCCAACAGAAGTCCTGGCCCCACGAACGTAGTGTGTTCAAACAAAATGACTAAATGAAAACTTACATTTAGTTTAAACTATGGAAATTTAGGAATGAGAATGAAAAAATCCAAAACAGTACCTTAATACTCAATGTAAGAAATCTCTCATTTCCAAGATAAATTGACTATGTGAAGAACATAACTTATATCAACTTCAAATTAAATGCACAATCAAGCTTTGCTGATACATTTTCATAAAACATAAGATTTGTCCGTGCAAGAAATGATCTTATTAATCTAAAAATAATCACTTAGAAAGGAATCATGTCTATTTTATCAAGCAAATACACATACACAATAGTATTCAATAGTATGAAGAAACCCAAAAGCACAAGACAAAAAACAACCAACTTACAGAACAGTGATTGTTAATTTGAACCAAAATCACTGATGGAACTTATTACCCAGTACCTCAAACCCATAACATGTTTCCACAAGAGTTTATGCTAATTATACAAAAAACTCATCAATCAACTTGGTGCCAAACTACTAAAGACGAAATATCAACATGAAGAAACAACAGAAGCACCAACACACAAAAGAAAATATACAGTGTCAAAGCACTTTACTGTAAACTTAACAGACTGTAACGATAACAGACATAAAATTGTTTTCATAAACGAAAAGACTGGAGAGGCACACATGTCCAGCAATGATTACAGCCATGTCCTTGTTCCCACTCACCCTAACATTTCCAGAAAAGTTGTCTACCTCACTTTAATTATGATCAATTAGAGAAGTCACATCATAAGGCGCAGATGAAGTGAAGAACAGGCCAAATACACAGCAAATCTAAATCATCAAGCCAGAGTTCACATTGCCTGCAAAATCATCAGAACCACTAAGCTACTGCACGAACAAGCTTGTAATAGACCTGAACCAAACACCCATTCACAACTCAAATCATTCCAACATCAAACCAGCAAAACTGAATTTAAAATAAGAGAACTCATCCAATATGATACAATTATACAACTAATCAGAAACATAAGAGGTGAAAATTTTGCATATTTCAACATAAGATTCAGCTTAAGTGACTTACTAAGATCAAAAGCTAAAGATGGCCGAAATATTGAAAGAAAAAGACAACTCCATAAAGATAAATGGATATAATAATAAGAAAGGAAATAATTCTCCTTAGTATAATCGTGATGTAAGCTGTAAAATGATCCAGGAGCTGACAGATTGCTACAAAGTTGGAACAACTGAAATCCGTGTGGCAATATAAAACAGGGTATGTAATTCTTGGAAAGACAGATATCTTACATAACAAATAAAATGCAGCAGCGGAAGTTACATAATGCTTTGCAGCTAACTCAATTCAATTACATGTAACAAGCAATAATTCTGCAACATGCACAGGACACAACAAAAATGTCAATATACCGATATAGGTGGCTGTTCATAACAGCTTACCTGGATATCAAATGCAAAACATTCTCCTGGATATCCCACAAGGTAAACATTTTCACAAACATAAATACCGCAAGCTTTTTAAGTTGTACACAGGGATGTGTACAAAATATTGGAGTGTGTACACCCAATTGAACAAACGGCACTATGTTAAAAGCATTAGACGAGAACCCAACAAGCAACATGAAAGTAAGAACAAAAAGAAATGCATATCCATACACCTATCGAACATCAAGCAACTAACATAGAAAGAAAGAAAGAAAACTACTACAAGGGATAAAATTGCAGAACAAAACAAAATACACTATAAAGTATCATTGAACCAATGTATCTTTCTCTACAATATACACACTTAGTGCCTAGAGTACTAGGTTAATACATATCTAGAAACATTAACTAAGTAACATAAAAACCAGTAACAGTCGTGATGCAAATGCTGCTAATTGAAAGAACATTTTTTAGGTAACATCTAGAAAGATAAATAACCAACATGAAGCAGTCAATAGTTTCATAGAATGTCGTGCCAAAAGTCCAGCTGTGAATACAGTAACTCAAAGTCTAAATACAGGCAAACCAACTTACAACATTGAAGAACTGTGCTACAAAGATAGCATGTCATGGATCCATGTACTGTGCTAGTCCACTTTAATGAATCCAAATTAGATATAAGAAATCTAATGTATGAACAATCTGATAGAAAGCAAAGTCACGGATTTACAAAAATTATTTATTTACTTATTTAATAATTACTTTTTTGTGTGTGTGTGTGNAATATCCACCAAGTTCCATTTTCGAGTTTTATTAGGCCAGATAACATCAATGATTTCCCCGGATTTATCTAGAAATGTAGAAACTCATACATGTTAGGCCTACTCCAGTCACTTCTGAGTGTTCTCAGAAGAAGAGTCCGGATGGAAGAATGCCAATTGACACAATTCGATCCGAGCTCTCTTATGGATTAGTCTATGTCTTGGAAAATAACTAGCATAGATTATTCAGTTCTATTATATTCTATAACTGTAATGTAGTTCATAATTCTATTATAAAATTCCAAGTGTAGGTAAGCCTATCATTCATACTCGTACATGTCTTGGAAAATAAGTAGCAATAGTCATAAACTTCCAAGTGTAAGTAAGCTTATCACGCATGGACTCTTCAATTATTACTGAGACGGGAGGGAGTAGGTCTTGCTTCATATTTTTCAATTTTATTTCCAGTGTACACGAGTAAAAAAGACAGAGCTTATCTTGGAGAAAATAACAAGCAAACTGTAGTTGTGAAGAAACTGCAGCATTGGACAATTTAGTAATTCACATAACAACGTTGACTACATTTCATGTCCACAACTATAGTGATCCACGAGTCCTGCAAGTACATTATTACCATCAAAGAAGGTAGCTTGCACCAATGAATTCACTGGCAGCACAGCAGAAAACAGCAAAACAAAACAAACCATCAACAAATTTTGTTGTGCCATAACAGTGATAACACACGGTGGCACATAATGCAGCATCTTGAATATATATGCTGATTCTAAATATCTATAGCACAAACTAGAAACATTCCAACATCAAGGAACAACATGTAAATGGAGTGACACAGAACCAAAAAAATCCCATATTAGCTTTCACCAAATTTCAGAAATAATCAAACCATGCAAAGATTCAGTAGAATCTCAAGACCACTAACTGTGATGCTCTAAAACAATAAGCACATGTGAGTCACCATTCATATGAGAACAGATCTTGTCGAGAGCAAACAAGGAATTGCACTATATGCAAGCACAATGAAGAAAACGCTATCAATAAAAGCCAAAAAATAGTCGGTAAAAGATCATTACCTCAGTAGTATGGGGGCATGCCCTGGTAAGGCCCCCCAGGTTGAACTCTTGGTTGCTTATGAAGGCCTGGATACCCACCAGAAGTTAAATTGTAATTTGCACCCTGTGGATAATCACCAGAACCCATCTCAGCTGGGCTAGGTGGCAAACCATACAAAGATGATCCACGGCCAGCACCACTAAATCCAGCCCCAACCCCAGCATACCCACCACTTGCACTACCACCTAATCCGCCATACGCAGCCCCCATAGGCCCACCAAAATGAGAAGCACCACCATAAGGCCCACCCATTCCAGAACCAAAACCACCACCAGCCCCTAAATTGGATCCTGCTACTTGATTTCCAGTGGCTGATAATCCTTGTCCACCTAAACCACCATAATGCCCACCAATCCCACCTGGACCACTATACTGTCCGCCAGGCATTGCAGCCGTATTTCCTTCCCCATTCCCCTGATTAACCCCATGGGCCCCAATGGGCCCCACAGCTCCAGCCCCAGGAGGCTTCCCCTTTTTACCATCAACTGCGAGCTTACAGTTCAACTGGTGGCCGTCAATATTCTTCACAGGATCCACCAATGATGCCCTAGCGCCCTCAGCAGTTTTATAGACAAAAAGTGCGAACCCCTTGGACTTCCCTGTGGCCTTGTCGAACCCCAACGGCCCCTCCTCAATCTCCCCGTACATAGAAAAATGCTGAAGAAGCCTCTCGGAGGGCATATCATACGGCACATTGGATACATAAATTTTCCTTGTGGACACATCCACTGAACCGTTCACACCACCAACGGCACCACCCGTCCCAGACCCGCCACCACCCGAATTCCCAGCTGCAGCAAGCTGCGTGACCGTCATCCGCCCATCAATTTGCTTGCTCGGCTCCTTCAGAGCCATGATGGCACCGTCCACGTGTTTGAAAGTGATGAATCCAAACCCTTTCGACTTTCCGGTGACCTTATCCAGGATGACCACGGCCTCGTCCAGCTCGCCGTAGGGTGAAAAAAGAGCCCGGAGCTTCTCGGTGGTGGTTTCCCAGCCGAGGCCGCGGATGAAGAGCTTTCTCTGAGCGACGTCACGATCGGCGAACGATCGGACGGCGTCCAGGACGTCCGGGTGGCGTAGGACTGCAGTCTGAACAATCTCCTGAAGCTGCTCGCGGGTGAAAGGCTCGATGATTTTGCGGGCGTCGTCAGATGTGAGAACGAGGGAGCTGAAGACGCCGGCATCCATCTCCGCCGCTCCGTTGTTTTCGATTTTGCGCTTCTTGATTGGGTCCATTTTGGGAATGGAAGCCTAGGATGATGATGAGAGTAAGCAAAACCCCAATCGCCGGAAAAATTGGGTGCGGAGGAGAAAGCACCGCAAAATCTCTTATTTTATTGTTTTAATCGATACCAATTGGGCCTGATTTGAATCATATCTGGAAGTAATACAAATGGGCCTCATAAATGGGCTGCATCAGTTAAAGTAAATTGTGCATAGGTGACCAAAACCGAGTCGAAACCGAAACATTGAGTCGAACACCACAGTTTCGTGCAGTTCGATTCGATTCAGTATTTTAATTTGGCAGATTTTGATTCTTTTGCCAACATTGTAGTGTGGTTCCATTGTTATTTCTTATAAGTTCGGCTTCAGCATTTTCAGTTCAATGTGATTTTGCACTAAACTTCAAGTTAAATGCAAAATGTTAAAAAAAAAAAAATTACAATTTTGCACCACATTTACTCATCCAAGAGTGTGGAACAGTACGGTGAAAAATTGCACCAAATCACAAAAATTCAAATATGGAACCTTTAAAAAAAACCACTAACTTAGAAAAAAATCAAATTGAAACTGAGCAAATTTTTGTTTCACTAAAATAACCGAACTAAACAACAACATAATGCACGGCTGACCTCAGTTTTCGATTTTATCTCAAATTCTTTATATATTTTATTCAATTTGGTGCGATTTAATACAAAATCGCACCGAACCAAACATAATTAAAAATCAAATTTATGAAAAATTGTAGCCGTAATTGAAACTGAACCAATTTTTGTTTTTCTGTTTTTTTCTTTCTTTACCCATAAAAAAACGAACTAAACCGCATGGTCGATTTTTCGTTTCGGCTTACTCTCATATCCTAACCCTACCCAGATATACACTTCGATAAAAGAAAATAGCTTTCGGGCAAAAATTTCATGGTCTCGGTTGGTTTCGTTCACAGGAAACAGCTTAGCTAGTAGCTCTCTGGTTCTCCAATGTCGATCACATTTTACTCGCCGAGTACAAATCTGCCCAATTTTGCTGGCTACGTGATTGAGCAGCACAGAACTTTTCCAGCATCGCCTCTTGAGAAGAACAACCTATGCCCGTGCGTGGGCCTTGCCCTTTTCAGCTCGTTCGATGCTGGACAGTGCTACTCATCCTCTAGAGCAATAGTGCACAAGCACATTCATCCATGGCGGCGGAAGGTACTCGAATCTTGTAAGGGGATGGTAAATCCCGATCCAGTTGGGGCGCCGCCAACTGTAAACGACGATGACTCGCCTCAGCGCAGACGTCGCCGGCGAAATACCGACGACAATGAAGACGACGGGAAGAGGAGGATGAAACTTGTTCACGGAAACAAAGGGTGTGTCCCGTGGAATAAAGGGATTAAGCACAGTGAAGGTAAAAGGTTACCGTTTATGGAGTGAACTTCATATGAAAAAAGGGGAAATTTTTCGTTTTATTTTGGCCAAGTCTTATCATAATCCCTCTGTTGTTCTGGCTTATTGTAATTCAGAGACTCGCGAGAGAATTAGTCGCAGGACAAAAGAAGCCTTAAGCGACCCCAAGGTTGAAATTCGTTAGAACTTGTGTTGTTTCTTATTTTATCATTTCCGAAAAAGAGCTCAATGTGAATTCATTGTTCCTCCTTAGTTATGTCCTTAGTTTCTGAATCTCGACAGATTAGGAAGAAAATGGCTGAAGCCCCTCGTACTATGAGGTAATAATCCCTTTTCCGGTCTCATCGAAAAGAATGTTCACACTTTCGCTCTTTGTTTAGCTGTTTTTGTTGTTAAAGACTGCAAAGAATGAATTTGTTTGTGATTTTAAGAGTCTTTTGTCATGGATGAATCCTGTTGTTCTTCTCTTTCTCTAATTCTTCTGGAATACTAATTTCCACCGAATTATATGAGGGCAGCCCCCTAATATTATCTCCAGGAACAGCTGTAGCATATCATTAGTAAAGTGCTCTCTCTCTCTCTCAGTTTAAATCTTATAGTAGCTCTTGGTTCAGTAACCTGACGAAAGCGAGAATACGCACTTCTCTCACGAGACTATGGGGTGAACGGCTAAAATGGAAAAGATCGAGGGAGAAATTCATGCAATTGTGGGCCGAAAGCATTGCAAAAGCTGCTAAGGTGGGAATGAGTGATGAGAAAGAACTTGATTGGGATAGCTATGACAAACTTGCAGAAGAATTGACTCTCCTTTGGGTTCAAAAGACTGAACAACAGGCAAAGGACGAAAAGATAGCTCGTCTAAGAGCAGCATATGTGAAAGCAGAAAAGGCAGCACGTCTCTCTCAGAAAAGAAGAGAGAGGGAAGAAAATGCGAGACCGAGAGAAGGATCAATTAAAAAAAGGAGCCAAAAATCAAAAGAAGAAAGAGAGAGGTTGGCAGAGTTTCGGGAGGAGAAACTCAAGGAGAGATTAATGAAGGTAAACTAATTGATTTATTATTTGAGGATGACATCATAATGATAACTGAGTTAGACCTCCATCGCAAAACAATAGGGATATTTGAGAAAAGCATAAGAAAATCTTCAGTTTTCCGGCTTCATTAATTTCCATTTGTTAATCAATGTGGCAAAAGAAATGAGCCTAATTATTATGGGATGGAAGGAATATTTCGCAGCAGTTATCAACGTTCTGTTCTTTCTTTTGCTCTTCATTTGGAGATAGAGTGTTTTCCTCTAAAATAATCTAATAGAATCGGAATGTGGGGCTGGGGAGAAGAACAACAATCATTACCAAACAAACTTTTTTTGATAAATTTCATATTGTGCAGCTGATGATTAAACCCATTCATGCATTATGTATATAAATGCTGTGATAACCAACTGAAGAATTAATTTTGTAATCGTCTTGACAAAAGAGAATTTTGTTTTGGCATCATTTTCAATCTGGTTTGAAAAAATTGGACAGTGATAATAATAACAGATAAAGGCGGCGAAATTTTTGTATAAAGAAAAGAGATTGTAACATTTTTAAGTGGAGGGCTCAAGTGATGCAAGGTGCATTCCTTTAATTGGTTTTAGTGGAAGGAGACACAACAGAGTTAAGTCATTGATGGAATAAAACAGCGCACTCTCAGATTAATGCATAGATTAATGCACTCTCAGATTTGTGGAGTGATGTTCTGCATTTCATCTTTTTCAGCATATTTTATGTTCTACATCTATGACTTCAGCATGAGAAATAACCTGAATATGTATTATTGCTGTATATATCGTGTGTCTTGTTTGATGGTGTTCTTGCATTTGTTTGCTGCCAAACAGATTCATAAGAAGAAATCGTCCATTAAACAAGTAAGCAGTGATCATCAACGGCCCTGGGAGAAACTTGACCTGGACTTGGCAAAGGGACTGAAAAAGGAAACTTCGCTTGCGGATCAAATTCATTTTGCCAAGAGCAGAAAATAAGAACAGCTGCTTCGACAAGATCTGACATGTCATGTCCGTTTGTAAATGAAAGTCCTTCTGGATCAAGGCTTTATGACCCATCATGGATTTATGCTTGTAGTGTGCTGAAACTTGAAACACAATTATGTGTTGAAACTTGAAACACAATTATTTGATCTCACCTTGTGCAGTCATGTATATGTCAGTTGACTAACAGAAACAAAATGTCATGATCATTCATTTTACGTGCAACATTTCGAGAACTTATTAAAATATGCGACTTACCAGTGATTCCTAGTTTCGATTAATATTTGCAGTCAGAGGAGCCATCCTTCGTTTTATGTCAATCATTTTTGCTAAACCTTAATGCTCATTGCAGGAAGAACAGAAGTAGTTCTTCAAAGCAGGTTTACCTGCCAATAATTGGCTACAAATTTGAACCACTTTCTTTTCATCCTTTACTCTGTCAAGTATGCAAAACACTCAAATGTGTAAAATTTACAAATGAGTGATACAACTTCTACTGTTCACGTCTTTGGTTTTCACCGACATTGTAAACCTCCAATTACATCCACAAGATTCTCTACGAATTCTTGAAGATAAAACAAACTTCAAATGACAATATAAAGCTTAAAAAGTTCCAGCCCACTTTGGTCACTTGAACCAGAGAAACAAGGTATTAGCAAATGGCAACAGAAAATGCGTAACAAGAAACCATCCTGTAAAATTACTTGACGAACTAAGAGCATTATCTAAATAGCAAGCAACCCACAAAATAGCAGTTGCACGAGTTTCATCTCTTATGAAATCAACACCACAATAAAATCCCTACAATAAACAAAGGCACATCCCTCAATTTACATAATCTCTCCCAGGAACATTCTGGTTCTGCATAGGATTCCCATAGCCACTGTGATTTGGCCCGGGCCCGTGTTGACCATAACTGTTTTGATTCAGCCCAGGCCCATATCCTGCACTTGGCCCATACCCACCAGAATTCTGTCCCTGACCAAAACCCCTATTCGCAGGCTGAGGCGGACCATTCTGCCCTTGATAATGATTGCCCTCACCAACATTCTGCGGTGCATATCCATTGTTCTGATTCTGCCCCTGATTGGGCTGCATGCCAGGCCCACTGTTTAGCCCATACTGCGAGTTTCTATAATTGTTGTTAGGAGGCGCCATCTCTCTTCCAAAGTTTCCTTGTCCCCCACTCGGCCCACCCACATTTGGCGGCGGCGAAGCATTGAAGTTTTGCGCGGGTCTCATATTTCCACCCACACTTGGAGCATTTTGCTGAGGTGGAGCATTGAAGTTTTGAGGGGGCCTCATATTTCCACCCATATTGGGAGCATTTTGCGGAGGAGGTGGAGCATTGAAGTTACGATTTCTCTCATAGTTTCGAGATTTATCAAAGTTACGAGGCCTGTCATTGCGCCTGTTCCTGTCGTTGGCCCGTGAGTTGTTTCTCAACCATTCCGCGTGGTATTTCGGATCGTAGGGAAGAGCTTGGCCGTCGATAAATGGCTCACCTGAAATATACGAGTTGGAATGAGAAATTGAGATTCGGATAAAAATATCAACCATATACATTTGATGATTCAAGACAAATATGCATATATGCTAGAGGTTCATACCTCCATAATCTTTATTCTGCACATCTAAGTATGAATCCGGGAGCACCCAACGAACTCTAGGAAGTTCTGCACCATATGTTTTTTTTTATCAATGTAAGAAACTCAGAAGGTTAAATAAATACCAGAAAGTAATATGGTGATCGAGACCTTTTATTTTGTGAGAAAGCTCTTCCGACACAAGAGCTCCAAAGGCAAAGTAACACTTCGTAGAGACTGAATAAATCTTCATCCTTGCTTCTTCTTCACTGCATATACAAATATTACAATTAAGCAATGAGTATTATGGTATTAAGACTAACGGATGGAAACGAAATGAGAGACTCAGATTGTAAACTGTTGTGTGTGTTTATAATCTCATAAGCGAAGTCACATGAATCTTAAACTCATTCATTAGTTTTAACTTTTAAGCATTTTGTAAACCAACCAATCACTCCAAAATAACAATAACAATAACAATAAATGGTTTGTATCGCACTCAAGAATCGGCGTCGACCATTCAACATTACAGTAATCAAGGACTCATAACTACATATGAAGTACCATAAACAACCTTTGTCTCAGCATTTTCAATATTTAACACAATATTCCAACAAGATAAATAATTGCACGAAATTTCTAATTGGAATACCAAAAAACTTAAAACAATAAAATGTTGAGTTTTAACTGATCTGTAACCCTAAACATCATTTCCAGAATTTTAACCATCTCCTAGCATATAAAAAGAAGTAACGAAAACGAATCTCGAGATTTCGATTGAATTTAGACAAGCCAACACCAAAGAGATAGGAAAAAAAGGAAGTCTTTAATTAATTCCTGCTATAAACATAGACCAGCAAGTTGAAAATTGCCAAACCTCCCCAAGACCATAGCAAGAGTCTTGATGTACGAATCGATGATTTCGTCCCGCGTTGTGTTCTCATCCGGAGGCTCCATGACCACCAGCCAGTGCTCGAAATCACAGCCGTCTAGCAGGATCGTCTCCGTCGGGGGTCGATTCGACCAGTTCGGGTTCTGATCGTTCAGGGACGACGTCCTCTGTCGGGTGGCGAATCCCCTTGTAGATGTCACCGGGGTAAGGCGGCGGAAGTAGGAGGCGGAGGCGGAGGCAACGAGAGGCCGGAGGCGGAAGACAAAGGCGGGCCTGGAGAGGACGCCGAAGGAGGAGGCGGCCGCGGCCGTGGTGTAGGATTGAGAAACGATGGAGACCGGCGGTCTGGCAGTGGAGAGAAGGGCGCGACGAGCGAGGCATCGACTCGCCATTTTCGCAAATGAGATTGATAAACCCTAGCGACTGTGCTAAGAGAAATGGGGGGTTTTGAAGTAGGGAGGCTGCAGGTACTGTTACATATAATCTATACTTATATAATAAGGTGTACCATTTATATAAGGTGTATCTATACTTATATAATAAGGTGTACCATTTATATAAGGTGTACCATTTACGAAATTTAGTAAGTTGAAAAGTCAATGCAATAAATGCATTACTATTTTGAGCAACATAATATAATATCATATCTATGCTTATATAAAAGGAGATTCTATTTACTACATTTACTATCCAGAAAAGTCAATTGCATTAAATACCATTACTATTTTGTTATTATAATATTTTATTTATTTAATTGATTTATTTATTTATTTTATTTTAAAAAGATAAGTATAATATAAATATTTTAATAATAAAAAATCAAATACCAAATAAAAATGTACATTTTGACTTATTTGATTATATTTGGTATTTGATTATACCAAATATATTCCTATTTAGTATATACATTAAATACTTACTAAAGTATTTATTTGTTTTATTTGACAAAGTTAAATATAGATTTGTTTATATTATCAAATCATAAAAAAANA